CTATGGCCTTTTTCTCTGGTAGAGAGAGGTTGTTGTGGTGGCATGTGTTGCTGATTATTTCATTGTTCATTCTTTCCCTGAAGCAGTCAATGTAGCGGTTAAGGTTAGGGTTTCGTCCACTGCGAGGTGTCCAATCTGATGTTTTTTTGGGCTTTTTGGCATTGATCTTTTCCTGAATGTTGTCAGAGGATGAGTTGCTGTTGGGAGTGGGTTCAGTTTGGTCGTGGAAATATTCTTTGAGGCGCAGGCATCGGAAGAATTCTTCTAGTTCTCCACATTGAAGTATTTTATTAGGGTATTTTTCTGGACAGAAATTTAGGCCTTTAGAAAGGACAGATTTTTCAGTTTTGGTAAGCATGTGTGTGGAGAGATTGATAATATTTGTGGGAGATAGATCACACATTTAAAAGAGCCACCCAGATACCACGTGAAGAACTGCTGCGGTACAGAAGAAAACCCCCCACAAATCGCACACCGCTGGCTATGACGTATCACCCCTCCCTTGAACCTGTATGGAAAATCCTCAAACAATTGCAACCCATACTAGAAAGAGACCCCATTCTTAAAAAGATCTTCCCAGAGCCAACCCTCCTAGCCTTCAAACAAGCACTGAACCTCGCTAACCTCATCACCAGAAGCAAACTTCCTCAGGCCCAGAACACACCAAAAGAGTCCAGACCGTGCCATGACAAGAAATGCAAAACCTGCCAACACATCTCCACCACCTCCACTATTACTACACCCCACAACAGAGCCATCAGCATTCCTGGATCTTACAGCTGCACCTCCAGAAATGTGATATATCTCATCCAATGCACCAAATGCCCTGATGGACAATACGTAGGAGAGACCAAACAATAACTGCGCACAAGAATGAACGCGCACCGGAAATCTTTCAGAGACAGAAATACCCAATGACCTGTGGGGGCACATTTCTCACAAGAAAACCACTCTCTCTCCAATCTCTCAGTCCTGATCCTCAAAGGGAACTTGCAAAACTCTTCCCAGAGACGAGCCTATGAACTCCACTTCATCAACCTCCTGGATACTAAAAATCATGGACTAAATATAGACATTGGTTTTATGACACATTATAACCTGCCTGACATCTGACTCCCCAGGTATCTCTCCACTTTCATCCCCCTTCTCTCTCTTCCCCCTTTCCCCAGCCTATCTCTCACCCATTGACTCCTCAGTCTACATTTTCACTGACTGCCTGTCTTGTATGCATACCAGCCCAGCCGCTGGCTTTTTTACTTTTCATTCCATCCAGGAAGAGCACACACCAACTGCTGAAACTTCCTTAGCCAGACAAAGGGTTTTTGAACCCAAAAGCTTGCTTAATAACTATTCTCCAACTATTTGGGTTGGTC